CGTGAGTAAAATTTGGTTCAAAATACAGGTAGTGTTTGATGTAGAGTGTGGACAAGTCTAATCTACTTGCTCTTGTTTCTTCTATACTGTATTTTCTGTAATACGGAGCCGAGTCTTTGTTCTCCCTGTCGGAAATTTAAAAAATGGCTTAGTGGTGATGACTGCGTGGATGTGCAGACCACTAACACAAATAGCTTCGCCAACAAGGCTGTCACCAGGCCAACCTGAAAGGCCCACTAGTGTGGTAGAGTTTGGGGGTAGCAACATCATCTATGTAAAAAACAAGGCTACACACATATGGCATAGCTGATGTGTGAGAAAGCAGACGATTCCTATTAGAAATGGTTATTATTTTAACTTGCAGGAGGCAGACATTTCATGAGCTAAATGGAATTGGTTATCCACCCATCAATTACTGGATAGATAAGATTGTAATTATACGTTGATTTCAGGTATGAGCTGGAGCAGTATCAAGTAGGTCTCTCAAAAAGGCCTCATGCAATAGTGGCTAACAAGATGGATTTACCAGAGTCTCAGGTTAGTCATCCTCCTCCTCTACCTATATTGCAGTAGGCTTCATGGATTGGATTGGATTGATATTAACCAATAAAACCCCCCCCCCCTTTTTTTTTTTTTTTTTTTTTTACCCCTCCCAAATTATAAACATTAAAAATTTATGCTCTCCGAAATATAAGGTGATTTAATGGTACCGAGTACAGTATTAAAATAAATTGGAGATGATTATTAAAAAAAGAATTTAGTGTATTTCTTTATTATTTATTTACATAAACATATTGACGAGTTAGTGGAAAATAGGTACCATATGATACATGTTTAGAGAATACAGTATGTAAATACTGTAGTGGAAATTTTGCTTTATTGGTGGAAATATTACTTGTATCATCATAATAGTGCTTAAATTGTGAGAATATTCCTTGTATGTTTATGTAAAGAAAGTGTTTTGGTAGACAAATGAGGGGTGTTTGTTTCTTAATATTGTAGTATATTATCTCCCACTGTGCCCTTCACTGGCTTTCAGTATATCTTCAGTGTAGTTATCTTATGGTAATCTTTGTATTGCAATTTATTTTTAAGAGGAGTTAGTTGATTTGTTTATTTGTGGGTATATTTTTACTTAATAATAATAATAATAAGGTTGATGATTTATGCATAAAAAAGGTTCAGGTTGTTGACCAATCCACACACTAGAAAATGAAGGGACGACGACATTTCGGTCCGTCCTGGACCTTTCTCAAGTCGATCAATCGACTTGAGAATGGTCCAGGATGGACCGAAACGTCGTCGTCCCTTCACCTTCTAGTGTGTGAATTGGTCAACATACTTCAGCCACGTTATTGTGACTCATCGCCTGCATAAGGTTCAGATTACTGTGATTACTTAGTAGGTACAGTATTTATATTTGTTGCCACTAATTTCTATCAAACTTAGGAACATCTGACATTCAGCAAGAGCTTTTCTTCATTACTGATGAGTGTATGAAATGTTAACATACTAAACATATGACCTAGACAAAAAGTTATTAAAACAATACTGATGAATTTCTCTCTGCAGGACAATCTGAAGGAATTGGCTTGGCATGTTGATCTGCCTTTAGTTCCAGTCAGTGCCAAGATGGGTGACCAAATTTCTCAGTTGTTGGCTCTCATGCGACTTCTTGTTGACCAAAAAGTTGAAAAAACAATATCACCCTATGCGGATTCTCCCATATCTGTGGAACAAATATGTACCTAAATATATTGAACATAATTCACAATAATATGGCTGCAAATTTAGACACCCGACCCACAGATCTGAAAATAAAGAAAGTGACAACACTTCAGTCCATCGTGGACCATTATCAAGTTGTGCGCTTGATAATGGTCCACGACGGACCGAAATATTGTCACTCACTTTATTTTCTGATTAATGGGTTGGGTACCAAAACATATAAATTTGTTTTCTCACTTTTATTCTTCACAAGATGTAAATACTATAGACTGACATTTCGGTACTCTATCATGCATGTCTCCTAATCAGGTTTGTATTTAAAAAACAAATACGTATACTGTACATGTATTTTTATTACAATATTGTATAAAAAAAGTCAACAAAATTGTTTAATCTTATGAAAACACAGATTTTCATCATTTGTATTAGAATAAGTTTTCACATGCATTTTAATGATAAAAATAATAGTGTCTTGTGTTGAGGAAATAGTTCCTCTGGCTAAACAACAGTAAGGCTTGTTGGTACCTTAAGGGTGTCTTGTATTTCTCAAGTTTGTTCTTCTAATTAGCTTGACAGCTATGAAATATAAGTTGCTGTTAATGTTGGTAAGTTTCTCATTTATTGAGTCACCAAAATATAATTTAAATGAACAAGTACTGATCAAAACACTATATAGTATTTCTACTTGTTTAATTCCATTTTTGGTTTGTACAGTACGGGGTATACAGATATAATAAATATTGTCAGATTTGGATTTCAAAAGAAGTTATCATGTGAACATCATCCACAGGGGATATACTCTCCTTTTATACTGATTACATATGAAAAAAAATTGACTAATTTTTAGTCACAAATTTGGACAGCTCTCACAAGACTTCATGTTTAGATTACCGCCGGTGTGGTGAGGAACCAGGAGGAAATGGATTTATAATACAACCATAAAAGTTTTTCAAGCTTTGTTATTATTCATTCAAAAATGAATATACAGTACAGTATAAGTATAAATATTCCTTTTGTTACTTTTATTATCCTCGGGTATTAACATAAATGTACAGTAAGGAAGAGTAGTACCTCAACAGACACAAAGTAAGAGTACCACACAAGACAATGTACACCATTCGGTCCAACCACTTGGACAGGATGGTAAAGCGATGGTCTCACAACTTGCAAGGTCGGCGTTCAATCCCCCAATGGTCCAAGCTGTTGGGTACAATTCCTGTTTTTGTTCTGGAAGACAGGACACCACGAGCGTAGCTCTCATCCTGTAACTACACTTAGGTAATTACCAACAGCTCTCACTGTAACTTGAACTAAGAGAAACCAATCAGACACTAGTTGAAGAGTGCAGTAGCCTTTGTGTGGTGTCTCGACCTAACGATCTAGTGGCATAGACTATGCCCTCCGTAGTCTATGCCACTATGATACTGGGGTAGTTGGAGAAGTTCTCAAGCCCCAAACATTGAGCCACTTCCCGACTAGCACTCCATAACCAATGGGTCCTCTGTAAGTAGTAGTAAAGTGAACTAGTGAACCATAACACTGACATTGAGATTACCTATGATGTCTTAAGCTCTTTCCAAGCCTTCAACTGTGGGCTAAAAGCCAACCCATACTATGATAATTAACTGAAATATGGTAACCCTTCGACAACAAGATGATCTGTAAACCTAAAAGCATCATCTTCTCTAGGTAGCTAAACAGAATCTAACCAAAGCTAGATCTAGTATACTCCTTAAATATGTGACAGGCCTAGCCAGACATAACTATTGGAAAGTTATGTTTGGTGATCTGAAACTAAAGTGAAAAGTTTGAACCCAAATGAGCAATATAATTCTCACACACCGGTTAATAGTATTTTGATCAGCAGACTATTGGATGGCAGGTTGCCGCATCCTCCTACAACATAGGTTTTCGTGGAGAGCGAGGCAATGACCCACTTGTGGTCGTAACAATGTCAGTTGCTTTGGTTTTACTCTACATATAGATAGCTAGGAACAGAAGAGTATAAAGAAAACCATAAGGGTTTTATCATTTATGATAAATTTATCATAACAAATGGCAAATCACAAATACACAAGTTTAGCAACAACTAGTGACATTTTTGCTATTGCTTTTGTGCAATCAGAATGTGGAAATACCTCAGGTACCATGATGAACTGTAGTTTTCTGTTATATAGTACAGTGGGACCTTGATTATTTGGACTAATTGATACCTCCAGATGTCTAGATAACTGAAGAAAAAATCAAGATTAAATTATTTTTTATTTTATTTTAAGTCACATGCTAAAAATATCTGTAATAGTTTTTTAAGGGCTGCACCAATGTATATGTAGTAAACCAATGAAATTTGTGTGTTTTTGGTATAAATAAGTGTCCTCCACTACAAAATTGTGTAGAGACTTTAAAGTTAATGGAGTTAACCTCCATAAATTAGGTATGTTTCAGTTAATGGGTGTTGACACTTGAACATTGTTATACAGTATCTGTAATCTGAGAATCAAGAAAATGGGGATTCGGATAAATGGGCAGTCCACAGTACAGTACTTGATAAATACAGTCATGAAGTGTTGTGCATAGATAGAAATCTGTCGTATAATACGTATTATACAATTCCTATAGGTACTCAGAATGGTGGTACATGTAGATTGCTATACAAATAATAAACTTAATTTTAATTAATAAAGGACTATTAATTTTGTAGAGGGCCTGCAAAATTAAGAAGGCAACAATCAAATTAACTTTGCCTTAGCCTATTACTGTGCATGTTTCACCTAAATGTTAAGATTGTGTATGTTAGGTTAAGATTATACAGTACAACTTTGATTCAACAAACTACATGGGACCAACCTTAGTTCATTGTAGTGAGGGATTCATTTCGACCAGAGATGCCTCCAGAATGTATTTTCCATGCCCTATGGGCTAATTTTACTTAGCAAAATTTTCATTCCAACCTATAATATAATGTACAACTACCAAATGAACATGTCTGCAAAAAAAAAAATTTAACCACATCTAGTTTACCGGGTATTTCTCACGTCCCCAACCTCAAACTCATTTTCAAAAGGTAGCAGAACCGTACCTGAGTGAACAAAAACCTTGCCAACTGAAAATGCAAACAAACCATAGAATTTGGTTTCAAATATCTTCAACAGATTTTGCAAGGCTTCAACTATTTCTTGTAATGTTGAGTCCTACAACAATCATCAAAAAAGTGACTGGAGCCATATTACCTTTCATTCCCTAATATTTCAACACACTATGGGCTGATTTCACTAAGCGAAATTTTAATTTCAACTTGTCATATGAAGGACAATTACCAAAGAACCTGTCTGTAACAAGATTTAACTATATGTATCGGGAAAACATAGCACATGGTGAAGTAAGGATCGTTAAACTTAAAACAATTTATTGTGATTACTTTTCACTATACAAACATAATCTTCATCTTCTATACATTATTTAACATGGTGGAGAGAAAGTCTAATGTTATACATGACATATATTTCATACGCAAATCATACACATCTATGCGCTGCTATTATACATCTGGGATACACAGGAAAGAGCATGTATTACAAAATATATCAATAGTTTGTAAATATTTTGGTGTCATTGTTTGCAGCTCAAAAATTCTATTATTGTCAATACCTCAAAAATTAGAATGCTACATTTACATATGGCCCAAATTTGTTTAATTTTAGCTAATGTTTAGCAAAGGTTATGTGTATTGTTGGTAATGAGTTGAACACCACTTTAAAAGAGGATTGCTTCTTTGGTTACACTGCCTTCTTGGTAATTAAGGTGACAGAACATTATGCAGTGATGTGGCTTTAAGACGTCTTGAAGTGGTGTGACAAACCTTACAGTACATCTTAGTAGTGGGACCTTACAGCATATCTTAGTGGAATGACATGATGGTGTATACCTTAACAGTGTGACCTGATGACATGTCATGGTGTTGTGGCCTTATGACACATGAAGACGATGAATCACAGCAACGTGGCTGAAGGGTTGATACCCATCCCACACATCTGAAAATGAAGAAACGACGACGTTTCGGTCCGTCCTGGACCTTATAAAGGCGTGTAATGTGTCTTAGTGGTGCTTCATTATAACACATCCCAGTGGTGTGGCCTCATGGCACATCTTAGTGGTGTAAAAGGACTTAATATTGACACTTGTGGCACTCTGTGATCCTGTGCTTCCGATCCGAGAGATGCTCTCATATCCATCTATATATCCTCAAAGTTATTCTAGCTTATCTCTCTCAGTTTCTGTAATAGTCTAATGTGTGGGACCATGTCAAATTCCTTCTGACAGTCTAGGAAGATGCATTCTGCCTATCCCTCCCCTTTTCTGTTTTAGGGCTGTGGTCTTGCTGCAAACCTACAGAATGTTTTACAGATATGACTATGGTGGTGTTAACAAATGGTGTCATTTTTTATATACTCTGTAAGTTTTCTTTTGGTTATTATGACAAGAACCTTACATGGAATATTAATGAGTGATACTCAGTAGCCTATTTTTGTATATAGGAACTATATTGGCTGTTTTTTATACCTCTGGCAATTCTCCGGTGTTATTTAATACTCCCACACACTCCACTACAATGCCATGTTATTATACTGTCACATTCCACCACAATGTTATATCATTATACTACCACACACTTCACCACACAAGTCATATTATGTTACCACACCATTCTACAATGCCCATCACTATACTACCACACCACTAACCCATATTATACTACCACACCAGTCCATTATACTATCACCCCCACCATTTCATTATACTGCAACACACATCATCATATCATTCCACAAGATGCTCACTATACTATCACACCTCTCATTCACGCAGCAACACAGCCCACCACAGAGCCACACACTGCACCACATTGTCATGTGGAATGACCACATTGTATGTGAAGTATGTGAATGATCACATACTTCTGTATTTTGCCACATCACTGCTACAGCTATGAGGCGCCAGCTGACAAATCTCCGCCTTACAGAAGACACGAGGGAAGGGGGGCCTAATTGTCTACAACAGGAAGTTACTGTGGGTAAAACAGTGGGAGTAGAGTATTGGCCGTCAGCCAAGGACTGGAGACCAGTTGGGCGGCACAGGATGTCAGGAGAACAGCACCAGACATCAGGAGTGTTCCTTCGGGCGTCAGCAAGACTGAGGACCTCGTCAGCCAGGAGAAAGATGTCACCCAAGCGGCGCCAGATGTCAGGAAGAGTGAGGACTTCGACAGCCAAGAGGCAGAGGTCAGTACGGCGGAGAACCCGCTGTTGGTGACCGCCCTCTGGGATCCTGTAGGAGAAACGCCAGTAAGTATGCAATTATCACAAGAAGGTACCAAGTCGGGAAGACTAAGTAGCACCATCTATCGAAAGAAGGAAGATACTCCTGTCTATCGAAGGAAGGAGACACTCTAGTCAATATCATTTCTGTATTCTGGATCATGAAACATTCTCGTGCCCTGGAACACGAAACATTCCCATGTCCTGGAACACGAAACATTCCCATGTCCTGGAACACGAAACATTCCCATGTCCTGGAACACGAAACATTCCCTGTCCTGGAACAAGAAGCATATATATATATATATGTCTTTTTTTGTATAATCTTATGTATATAGCTAAGTGGAAATAATTCGTATTTTAAGCTATAGTTAATTATGAATGATAAAGAATCTGAATCTGATTTACCTGAGGAGCACTATCCCTAGTGGCCTCGATGAGGACAGAAAGCCGGCGGCTTGTCGAAAGTCCCCCCATTTGCCTTGATCTTTTCCAGGGGCCAGATTCACGAAGCAGTTACGCAAGTACTTACGAACCTATACATCTTTTCTCAATCTTTGGCGGCTTTGTTTACAATTATTAGACAGTTAATGAGCTCCGAAGCCACGGGAGACATTTCCTGTCACGCAGGGTGCAGTCGCGCCTCCACAGATCTCCAGTATCAGCTCTTGATACTGGTAATGGCTCAAAAGGGCCACCACTTACGGGCTATTCATGCCCGTGCCACCTCTTGGGTGACTTAATCTTTATCAATCAATCAATCAGCTCCGAAGCACCAGGAGGCTGTTTATTACAATAACAACAGATGATTAGGAAGTTTTCATGCTTGTAAACTGTTTAATAAATGTAAACAAAGCCGCCAAAGATTGAGAAAAGATGTACGCGTTCGTAAGTACTTGCGTAACTCCTTCGTGAATCTGGCTCATATATTGTTTCCAGCTATGAAGTGGGAATGACGTCACATGATAACCATAGCAACCCTTCCTTATGACTCCCTGTTGACCTCTTGTTAGTCGTAAATTCTGCCACTAGATGGCACCATTACCTCAGACACGCCAACAATTCCCCGTGAACACCGATAATGAACGACAAGAACAGCACATCGTACACACCAACTGATTTATACGACCAACAAAATATAAGGTAAAGGAAATTTATCATTAATAGAAGTATTTCCACCTCATATAACTGGAAGACATCGTTCTATGCAGAGGAAGAACAGAGGAGCGGCAGGCCATAAGGAGCGGTGTTGATCCTGGCAGTGACGTCACCCATAGGCGGGTAGTGACGTCACCAGTGGGCGGGGCAGTGACGTCGCCAGTGGGCGGGGCAGTGACGTCGCCAGTGGGCGGGGCAGTGACGTTGCCAGTGGGCGGGGCAGTGACGTTGTCAGTGGGCGGGGCAGTGACGTTGACAGTGGGCGGGGGACAGTAAGCACCATGGTATATTTTCATACTCCCCATGGTAATAACTTACACCCAACTGTCAGGGGCGCTTTACAGCTGGGTGGACAGCGCTTCGGATTCGTAGTCCTGAGGGTCCGGGTTCGATCCCCGGTGGAGGCGGAGACAAATGGGCAAAATATTTCTTTCACCCTGATGCCCCTGTTACCTCTAATGCACTAATAGGTAATACCATAGGTACCTAGGAGACATCTAAGTTCTAGGTGTGTTGTGGTGGTGGGAGAGGCGTTGAGTTCATCTACACCAGATACACAATTAAGACACACGGATATGTACACAGAGGTGTAACCCACTTCTTGGTGTATACACAGAGTTTACTTTGGTCTCCGGCACCATTCCTTCCTCCGTCCCATCCCAAATCCTTATCCTGATCCTTACCAAGTGCTATGTAGTCGTAATTCGTAATGGCTTGGCGCTTTCCCCTGATACACCTATCTCCGACTATGTTCAGTACTCTGAATTAAGTACACTTGCTGGTTGGTCAGTAAGCAATTGTGGTCGCCTTAATAATAACCAGAGGTTGATGAACCTGATGGATTTTACATCAAACCAAATTACGGGCTATTCATGCCCGTGCCACCTCTTGGGTGGCTTAACCTTCATCAATCAAACTATCAGATCATGCTACAGTCACCCTGAACCAGACTATGACTCACAATGGTATTTACAAAAATAAAGAGTATATATAGGTTGCTTTTAGAGCACGTAGATCAGTAATGGCGCAGGGCGGAGAAATTCTCTTGGTAATTAACCTTGATAACTACCTTAATAATTACACATAATTGTACCTAGTTCACTCGTTAGATTATTCGCTTTCGGTAATTATGTGGTACCGTTTTTCCGGTAACTTTGGTACAGTTTTCACCTGTCACTAATTAATAGACCTGAAAAATTTACCAAATTAAGCACACTATTAACTATGGAAAATTTAACATTTTTATAATACCCAATTCCTCTGAAACCGATGTTGAGAGTAAAAGGCATTGTTACACACGATAGTGAATAATCCGGGGTAAGAAGAAGTTGGGAATATGGTAATTAGTCTTGCTAACTGATGCATGATTTATTTATTGATAGATCACCTGTAATGGGGAAAAAATACAATAACTATAGGCTTTATACATACGGATAATAAAAATCCATCTGGATAAAATCATAAGGATTCACGAAGCAGTTACTTACGCAACTGTACATCTCTCAATCTTTGGCTGTTTTGTTTACTATACTGTTTAATAGCTCCTAAACACATAGTAGGCTGTTTATAGCAATAAACAGCCGTTTATCGAGTACTTTCTTTCATGTAGAGATTATCACCAGCTGGGAACGGACAAAAAACTGAACTATATTTTTATAAATATTTAAATAAAACCCGGTACTTCTTTGTAATGCCTTACAGACATAATACGACGTAATATATGAGAGCACTGAACCGCCTCTTGTGGTGCGCGGGAAACGACTCCATCCACCATTAAAATTATAACTTCATAATGACATCATAAACCATGCATGCAATATATAAAAAAAATATCCCTAGTTTTCCATCGGTTGAGTTTGTTTAAAGAGAATCAATAAGGTAGATAGGTCAAACTTTTCTCAGGTCAAACTTTTCTCAAGACTTAGGCTGTTCTCAGACATGTTGACGTTTTGGCGGGCGGCGCACTGACCTGTCAGTGTCTGGTGTACAAGTGGAGGGAGAACACTGTTGTCCTCTCCCTTCTCCAACACCTGTCTAACAGATAGTAGACGGTGGAAGCAACGGTATCCACCATGTCCGTGAGATACTCCATACGGATACAACTCAACCCAGGTAAACTTGCTTGAGAAATCATTTCTGTATCGATAACTATTGTAATTCACAGCAATGTTGGTGATGACAGTAACTGAATGCAAGATAGGAAATGGTTTCTTTTAATTAACAAGTTATTCAATGTACTTGTAGTTTCTGTCACAGTAGTGTCTTATAAAGAAAACTTCATAAAGGTACGTCTTTCATCTACACTATTGGAAGTTTCTTTTCCCCGTGCAGTTGGTTATGGCTGCCAAATATTTTGAAAGGTTCGTTTGGCAGAATTTATTTTTGACAAACCCACGTTGAGAGGTTTTTACAGGATTATGCACTAATGAATGCACGGGTGAATGATTTCCTCCATGAGCTTGCTGTCTCTGCAGATGTGTAAGGTTAAGCTGATTGGTTTGTATGTTGATTAGCTTTGTATAACTTTAAACATTATCTGCTAGCAGTATACAGTTTAACTGAGGCTTAAATATACATTTTCAGGATAAAAAATATTTTTGTATGCTTCATAGATGCTATCTTTACCGTGTAATATCTTCATCAGTTCTGTGCTATGTATAGTTAACCCAAACAACGATTTTATTATAAACAAATAAATGTACATTATAACAATAGTCATCGAATGCTGAAATACCTTTTCCAGCCTCTTATCTGATAAAAAAGCAGTTTTCTATGACATAATTAAGGCATAAACTTGAGGAAATATCTGGTTGTGGCTTCCCTGGCCAAGGGAAACCCATTGTGGAGAGATGCCTCGCCCAGTGACGCGCTACCACAGTTTATTGGGTGGTTAAGTCTGCCTCAGTCCACCTGCGACGCTCCTGCCTTAAGCTGCAGGTGCACACATGGAAACCTAGGTTGAAAATCCTTAAGACATTGACACGGTGCAGGAAACTAGGTTGAGACTAAGTTCACAATGAAATCATAGCGTCATGTATCTAATTAAATAATATAATGGGATCGAATCGCATTCCTGGAGTGCCCAGGCACAGGCAGACCTATTGATGTAGAGTAGCACGTGAAGATGATCATCCGAACACCGCTTCTGTGCCAGGTAAGTCCACTATGGGCTCACCATAGCCCGTGCTACTTGCCCCACTCCTGTGCCAGGTAAGTTACGGGCTCACCGTAACCCGTGCTACTTGCAACTTGTTCCGAATAGCTGAATCTATAACAACAACAGCGAAGATGATGATAACAATAATTGATGATGATTCATTAGAATGTGTGTACAAGGGAATATAAGAGGAAGGAACACTTGAAGGGGACAGTGGCTACACATACATGTGTATCCACTACTATACAAAACGTTTCGGGCAAAAGGCGCACTAAGTGGAGGGGTAAGGCAAATATGATTATGGTAACATTATTACGGTTACGATAATGTTATTAACAATATCACTGGCTGTTACGTAGGTTTACATGTCCGGGAGGCTACATAAATGAGTGAAATGTTCTAGGCACAGTTTGGGAATGTGTTCTGAAGGCTGTGCTGGTGTGTTGTTTGTTCCCTACCCCTCCCCACCCCCCACCCCCACCATGCCTCTCTCGCCTCCCCCCCACCCACCTTGCCCCTCTAGTATCCCCCCACCCACATTGCCCCTCTAGCCTCCCCCCACCCACCCACCTTGCCCCTCTAGTATCCCCCCCACCCACATTGCCCCTCTAGCCTCCCCTCACCCACCCACCTTGCCCCTCTAGCATCCCCCCCCCACCCACCTTGCCCCTCTAGCCTCCCCCCACCCACCTTGCCCCTTTAGCCTCCCCCCCACCCACCTTGCCCCTCTAGCCTCCCCCCCCCCACCCACCTTGCCTCTCTAGCCTCCCCCCCCACCCACCTTGCCCCTCTAGCCTCCCCCCCACCCACCTTGCCTCTCTAGCCCCCCCCCCCACCCACCTTGCCTCTCTAGCCCCCCCCCACCCACCTTGCCTCTCTAGCCCCCCCCCTTGCCTCCCCTGGGTAGGCAATATTCAAATCTGCTCTCACCCAGCGGTTCTGGGAGGGCATTGTTGATCGCCAATATTGAATAGCAATTGAGCGGGCAACTCCAATATGTCGGGGCCGCTTGGTTCGTCAGCTGGCTCTGACGCCTTCCGCCCGGCCACCGTCACCACCACAGTGATGACACCACAACCACTACCACCACTACTACAACACCACAACCACCATCTGAATGAGCATTCATTTAGGCCCCTTAACTCGACGTTTGGTTCATCCCTCAGCGCCAGTTCTGCTTACCAAAAATGGCCCACTAGATACTCAGATTACTTCACCACCACAACCACCACTACTACACCACCACAACCACCACTACTAACACCACCACCGCCAGCGCCATCGGCAGCACGTGGGACGCTAGCAAATATAAGAACATCGGTTCGAAACCTAAATCAGGACTCATTGACGATGATCTATTCAACATTTATTATACCAGTACTGGAATACGCAGCACCGGCATGGAACCCCACACCTCGTGTAGCATAAAGGCAAAATTGAAAAATATAAATGTTTGCAACAAGATTCGTGCCAGAGCGCAGAGGGTTAAATTGGGAAAATAGGCTAGTGGAACTAAATCTCAGACCCCATGAGGCTAGAAGGACCGGAGGGGGATATGATCACAACATATAAGATAACGAGGGGAGTAGATAAGGATAGCCTCTTTAAATTTAGAGAAAGTAGGACAAGAGGACGAGTGGAAGCTGGGAAAGTAAATGAGCCGAAGGAATGCAAGGAAATACTCTGGTCCAGGATAACATTAGCAGCATATGGGAAGTTGGCAAATATAAGAACATCATTTAAAAATCTCGACAAGGAGGCTTTAAAGTCAAATACTGCCAATATGAAACCATTACTTGAGTATGCAGTACCAGCATGGAGCCCACACCATGCGAACTTGAGAAAGTTCAGAGGTTTGCAACTAGATTAGTACCAGAATTGAGAGGGCTAAGCTATGAAGACTGATTGAACTCGCCCTCAACACATTAGAGGAGAAGATACGATGATGATATGACCACTATATACAAGATTCTGGGGGGAATAGACCTGTTGACCAAAGAAGCCTATTTAAATTAAAAGGAGGTAGCAGAAGGGGACATCCGTGAAGGCTGGACACACACTTGAATCGTAGAGATGTAAGGACGTTCTAGCGCCATGTAGCCTTGGGCGACAAGATGAAGGCATTGAAGGAAGAGTTACTGAAGCCAATTCCATCTACAACTTTCAAAAATTAATATGATGAAAACGTTAATGTTGAGATCGGTAATTAGCGCGCCAGGTATAAACCCGACGCGCTAATTACCTATCTCAACATTAACGTTTTCATCATATTTATTTTTGAAAGTTGTAGATGGAATTGGCTTCAGCAACCCCTTCAATGCATTCATTTTGCCGACCAACGCTACAGAAGGAGAGATAAATATTAATATACCCATCCAAGACTCGCCCTGCTACATGACACTGAATCAGTGTCAGTTCCTCACAATTACCTGTCAAAATATGAACACAATTCTAAATACGTCTGTAACTTATCTGTAAGTAAATATTACCTTTTTTAAGTGTATCAACAAATGTCCTTGTCCCTTACTCAGGGTGTTTCAGGGTACTTGGAAACTTAGCATTAGTAAGTTAGTATTAGCACATCCCTATATACTGACCTCCCCCTGCCTCCCATGGCCTCACCTGGCTGCCCCCTGGCCTCACCTGGCTGCCCCCTGGCCTCACCTGGCTGCCCCCTGGCCTCACCTGGCTGCTGCTGGCCTCACCTGCGGCGTGGAGGTTGTGGAGGTAGGAGGCGGCTCTGAGCTTGACCTTGATGGTGGTGTTGGTGCTGAGCTGGTGCGGCCCCAACGTCAGGCGACACTCGGCCACCACCTGGCCCCCAGCTGCTGATACCTGTGGGGGACCACACGTGTTAGCCAGGGTGTGGGGGGTGGTCGTAGGGGTGATTGTTGTGAGGCTGTTCGGGGGGGAGGGCGAGGCAGTGTGGGAGATGGGGGGAGGGCGAGGCAGTGTGGGAGATGGGGGGAGGGCGAGGCAGTGTGGGAGATGGGGGGAGGGCGAGGCAGTGTGGGAGATGGGGGGAGGGCGAGGCAGTGTGGGAGAAACATGCAGAAGTAACTTGAGGCCTTTTGAACTGTGTGAGAGAAGAGCAAGTCGGTACGCAAAGCGTGCCACGGAGACGTGTGGGTGTAAGAGACAAGCCTAGTACCACAGGGATCCGCACCTCGACCGTTACTCGCATGTGGTCATGACTCCAACAACGGGGGTTCAGCATGTCAGTTTACGCCGAGGACTCGGGGCGGTATAACCATCCACACCAAACGAAGGTTACAGAATGCTCCAGCTGGGAAAACCACGCTATTGTGATGTCCTAGTGTAGTGTACTCCCGTTGCTCCTGGCAACGGTAGGAATAGCATCGGAAAAAATAGCTGCTTAATTTGAATCCAACTGTAGTGTGTGTGACGGGCCATCAGGCCGGTACAAGATGACGGCAACGACAAGAGATCAAGAAGACATAATTCCCGGACTATACATATATTCCTCCCAGCATGGAGTACCCCCTGACTAAGAAAGTACTCGGTAATGACACACCGTAAAAAATCTGACCTAAGCAACCCACCAAAGGACAGGAAGCAAGTCGATAGAAAACGTGAATATTTGTAAGACATGACTTTCCTTCATAGGTTGAATTTGTAACGTTGTTTACGATAGCGTAAAAGAACGCGACCTATTAATTGAGGGGATGGGTTGGTGTGACATACCGCAGGTGTTATCAGGCAGGTGGCTGAGCTGAGACGGCTGCACCACCAGGCAACAATGTCCAGGGAACTAAGCTTCTCGCTGAAGACAGTTACAACACGCGACATGATTGCCGCTGTGAAATGTTCTCGGAAGCACTTGAGAATCAGAAAGAGTAGCACGCTAGTGGACGGGTTGAGAGGACACGGGGTGGACACTAAAACGAACCACAATGAGGTAAAGAAGCACTTCTTCACTATAACAGAAAGCGGAGGTAGTTGATGCTAACCCTATACAGAGGTAAGAGTAGGTATGATAACCAAGAGTGTTGTGAACCATTATTATATTGGACGATTGGCGACTGGAAGCGGGGCCCAGGAGCCGAAGCTCGCCCTCTATGTACATAGAGGCGAGTATACACGCGCGCACACTTGCAGTGTTTCACAACTTGAGTAAATCAAAATAAATTAGTTTACCGCAAAATATATAAGAGAAGAATGTAATTATAATAACATAATTACGGCGGATTATCATAAACAGATAATTGTATATTTTATGACTGTGTAATCCACAACAATAATTGCTTACTAATTTCAGCGTTTTAATTATAATTGGAGAGGGAGTGATGAAATGGGGGATAGAGTGGGAGAGGGAGGGAGAGAAGGGGTAGAGGGAGGGAGAGATAGAGGGGGAGAGGGAGACCCAAACGTGGAACAGGGAGATACAAAAATGGGAGAGAGAGAGAGAGAGACGGAAGAGAAGAGTAAGTGATAGGTAAACGGAGAAGGGATAGGTAGCTGCACAGAGATATATCCATGTGTTTAATTGATTGTTTATATTTGAATAAGTAGGTAGACAAACACACATAAAGCTAAACAGCGATACACACACACTCAGCCCTCGTATGCAGAGTTATTATTCATTCATTCATAAACGTAATTATATTTTCCCCCAAAAATACAACGATATGCAAATAAAAATGCAATACAAGGTGCAATATATATATATATATATATATATATATATATATATATATATATATATATATATATATATTATAATAATAATAAAATTAGAACTATACAATATAATACAATGAGTAGAACTGTACAAATCAAGATATACAAAAATACAGTACGAGCAGCTGTATTAAAATAAAATACAAAAAGCTGTATTAAAATACAATACAAGCTGTATTAAAATACAAGAAACTATCAAAATGCAGTACAAAGAGAAACTATATTCCAATATGTAATGAGAACTAGTACAACAATACTATAAACCAATGACCTGGATAATTATTAATTTGATAATTATTATTTAAATTTTGTAAAGTCCACTTCACCCTCATAGGCTGTGAGATTGTTAACTATCCCAGCCCTTATCCTTTCTATTCTGTCCTGGTATCCCCTCCATGTGACATACTGGCTTAGCGCTGTCTCCTCACAATTTCCTCTCCTGTTTGTCGAGAGAAGTGAGTCATCCCAGGGAGGATAGGCTGCTGCTGGATGAACAGCAGAAATAGCCTAAGCTACTCTATCCCTTTGGGATGTATTTTTTCTTGTCTCGATAAACGTACTTGAACATCGTGTGTTGTAGCAGTCTTCTAGTCGTCAAACGGAATAGGGTCAGGAGAACCTTCTACTTGTCCGTTTGTGTCCGTCTCTCCCGTAACTCACTCACGATCAACCCACTTCTGCTCTCCCGTGAACTGGGTCGAGTCATCCATCGGGCTCAACAGAGTGGCTCCGGTCATCCAGGAACTCTGATATGCTCACCGCCAATTGATTTGCGGGAGCAGTAGGGAGGGAGAGAGGCAACGAGTGTTGGAAGGAAAGCAGGAGGGAAAGAGGGAGGAAGTGTTGGAGAGAAGGTGAAATTGAGGGAAAGAAGGAAGAAATGAAGGGGGTTTGAAATGAGAACTACAAATCATAAGCCAAAGAGCAGCAACACACTATATTTCCTTCCATACTAATCTCACTACCTCCATCACCCTTACTCTGGCTCCATCACCCTTACTCTCCCTGGCTCCATCACCCCTACTCTCCCTGGCTCCATCACCCCTTACTCTCCCTGGCTCCATCACCCCTTACTCTCCCTGGCTCCATCACCCCTTACTCTCCCTGGCTCCATCACCCCTTACTCTCCCTGGCTCCATCACCCCTACTCTCCCTGGCTCCATCACCCCTTACTCTCCCTGGCTCCATCACCCCTTACTCTCCCTGGCTCCATCACCCCTTACTCTCCCTGGCTCCATCACCCCTACTCTCCCTGGCTCCATCACCCCTTACTCTCCCTGGCTCCATCACCCCTTACTCTCCCTGGCTCCATCACCCCTTACTCTCCCTGGCTCCATCACCCCTTACTCTCCCTGGCTCCATCACCCCTACTCTCCCTGGCTCCATCACCCCTTACTCTCCCTGGCTCCATCACCCCTTACTCTCCCTGGCTCCATCACCCCTTACTCTCCCTGGCTCCATCACCCCTACTCTCCCTGGTATAAAGGGAAGTATGTTTTGCCCGACAAAGGGAAGATGGTTGGACTATAAACTACTAAAATTACTGAAAGCTTAAAATGATTTATAACGTGCAAATACTGGACTCTGGAAGCGTAGTTCTATATTGACAGAAATATGTAATAAACAGAACACAGAAAAACACTGACAGACTCACATGCACATTTAATTCGGTGAAGTTAGGTGGTCACACATACACTTGAATAACACACATACACCTACACAACAAACACACACCTACAAAAAAGCACACACACACAAGGCTTCACAACACAAAAGGCATACAATTCAAATACACAAACACACTATGTTGAGGTCAGGTGGACGAGGCTGCTCCATTAGCATCATACCTCAGGTATCACGTCAACATAAACAATGCTACTGCCCGTCCATTACCTCCACAATATTATTTTTCCCTCTCTCCCATTGGTATTTTTCACTACAGAGAGAGAGAGAGAGAGAGAGAGTAGCCAGCTAGTGAAATATATTTTCTTCCTAAATATACTGGTTGGGGTAATAATAGTATTTCGTTGGGCAGTTTTCATGCGGGCGGACCAAACCGTACCAGAGGGTGGTGGCGGCACTTGCTCGTACAATTTTCTTAAATTATTGTTTCGTCATATTTTCTGTAGCCATTCAGTTTAAGAATGGGATTATTTATATATCTATATAAATGAATGTCCGACCGAGGTTTTCGCTAGCCTCACCCAACTTTCCACTATGATTGCTGTCGGGTATGTGCCCAACATAGTCGGGTCGGGGTTGGGCACATTAGGGTTCTTACACTAATCAAACGAGTACAGCATGACACGGTGCCGTTGTGAACCCTCGAATTTCCAGACGATTCTGGGACTGGCTCGACATTCTAAAAAAACAAATTTCAAAATATGGTCTCTTACCATATTGTGTGGACAGATGCTGAAAAAGACAGATACAGACGACGAGAGCCATGCATAGGAAGACAGATACAAACATGCAGAGAGATACAGCGACAGATACATAAAGAGATGATACTATCAACATGTAACTTTATCTCTAAAATATGCTCGACAAACATATTGAATTATTTATTGTATTATAATTTTGTAATACAAATGTTGTATCTCTTATATCAGGAAAAGATAACAGACATGAATGGCCTGAAAGCAAACATGGGAGCCGTAAGTTTGACCATAACATGTGTTAATGGGAGGTCACCATGAGCGGGAGAATCCCATCTCTGTGTTTTCAAAGTAAAGGAAACAATGTAGAGCATATTCTGTGAATAGTTAGTTACTTTGATAAAATATTTAATTTCCCCTGTTTCGAGACCTTTGCACCACGCTATATATAATATCTCTATCTATATATATATCTATCTATCTCTCGTTACAGAATTGTATGTAATAACCCATGAAACTATATTTGACCTCATTTACATAAATAATAATATACATAATAAAATCATTTAATTATTCCACCCAATAAATTACCCGCCCACCTAGTCGTCAACAGCGTGCTGTGGTACGGCGACATTTTTTCCCGCTCTTTTTTATCTTTATTTTCTCTCTACTTTCTTTCAGTTTCTATTGTTAAACAACTAGTTCATTCATTATTTATAATGCTGAGATATATTTTATTAGTTTTACAAGATAGTGAAATATCGATTTTCTATCACATCTAGATCAAAGATGTGTTTCTAATTCAGTGTTTCATACGGGTGTTCTGCTGCTAATTCGTACTCATTAGGTTCCTTTGTGTTTCATGAACCATGACAAGTTGTTCGAAATTAATTTTGTTCCGTTTCTTGGACGACGCTTTTGTGTTTCATTGATGTTTTTACCAATAATTGTATCTGAGAGAAATACCACAACGCAAAGCTGATCTTTACAAGTCTGTGGCGTGTATACACACACACGTCTGTGGTAGAAAATAGTATTAATAAAAAAAAACTTAGGCTTCGATATTTTTTTTTCTTTTTTTTTTTTAGTAAAGAGGATGGAGAGGCATTGGTGAAGGAAAGTTTAGAAGTAGGAAATACGGTCAGATTATGTATTAACGATAAGACCTGCCATTAATGTATGATGACTTACTGTAAATATATAACTCTTGAAATAGCACTTTCTCTGTAACTAGCTGACATTGTAACTATAAGGTGAGAAGGATAGATGAAATTGTTTATGTAATAATCTAAGATGAGGTCTGATAAAGACCTTTGGTGCTCTTTGTAATGCTTTTGCGCTACCGCTCACAGGATGAGTATGGGGTACACAATAAACTAGCCGCCTTCGGCGGCAACAAACAAATCGGTTATGAAAGCAGGCGGGGTGTCTGCCTAGGCTCCGATACATGACGGTGGTGGCGGGGAGGGAGAGGAATGGAAGGGGGAGAGGGAGGGTAAATAAGAGGGAGGCGAAGGAAAAGTAGATAAAGCGTACACAACTTAAAGAGAAGTAAGACACGATGGAAAAAAAAGGAAATAAATGAAGAAAAAGTATAGAAGGTAACACAACACGATAAACACAAGTTCAAAACAAGCGGAAGATGAGGAATAAAACATAATGTTACATGTACAAATACATTTGACCCTTCCACCTGGCAAATAAAGTTCTTACAGCAACAAATAATTCATCAAACGAGTAAAAGTAAAGCCAGCATGGTGGCTCCGCCTGAAATGCCAGAACATTATTTATTATGGAAATTGTCAAGTAATATGCGGGGTAAAGTGTTGCAGTGGAGTGTAGGGCGTGTGTCCTCAACTGTCACCACCCAGATGTGTTCCTGAGCAGCTCCAGAGATGGCCCTACTGATCTAAACTTTCTCTCACACACAAGAGCACAAGTATAAGCAAGTGCGAGAATGGGTTGGGTTTTCTATGAAGCTTTTCAAGGTAAACTAAAATATTCACAATTAATTAGTATGTCACATATGAACTTATTAAATAAGCCAATATTTGCTATAAGCAAGTGCGAGAACGGGTTGTGCAACCACACACACACACAAACAGGGGGCCGGTGGCTGAGCGGACAGCACGCTGCGCACGTGATCCAGTGGTCTTGGGTTCGATTCCGGGCGCCGGCGAGAAACAATGGGCAGAGTTTCTCTTACCCTGATCCCCCTGTTACCTAGCAGTAAATAGGCACCTGGGAGTTAGTCAGCTGTCACGGGCTGCTTCCTGGGGATGTGTGTGTGTGTGTGTGTGTTAGGGGAGAAATATATGTAGTAGATATAATAGTTAAAATAGATTGGTTAGAAAGGCGGGGTCCAAGAGCTAATAGCTCGATTCTGTAGACAACAGTAATAAATACAGAGCTCGACCCTACAGGCACACACAGGAGTCATCCAAGACCGATGTATAATCTATACGAGACCCATTATTGAGAATGTTGCACTGGCATGGTATCTATAGATAAACAAAACTAGAAAAGATGCAACAAATATATGCGAGAAGGCTTGTTGCTGAACTGATGGAACTTGACCTCGTCACGCTGGAGGAAACAAGGACATGATAACGACGTATAAAATTCCAAAGGGAATTGACTAAATAGAGAAAGAAGTTCTGTTCCAAGTTAAAACAACAGAACGAAGGGAACGTAATTTGGAAACTGGAGGCACAGGTAATATACAATACAATACAATACAATTTTTATTTAGGTAAGGTACATACATACAATAAATATTTACAAGGATTGTTTGACTTATAGGTATAGCTAGTACATACAATGCCTAAAGCCACTATTACGCAAAGCGTTTCGGGCATGATAAACTTAAATGACAAGCTTAATACTAATTGAGCATAATGAGTAGAATGAAAACAAGAAATGAAAACATAGATATAGATGTCAAAGGATCTTCTTCAGGGTTATAGTAAATAAATATAATGGGAGGTGCCAGCCAGCCAGTCAGTCAGCCAATCAGAAAATAAGTCTGTCTGCACCTTGAACCACCTTAAACAAACTGCCCCCTGTAGTGCCATCCTCCCCCCCCCCCGTCCTACACAATACGTCGCAGTCTCCCACAAACTTCGACAAAAATCATAACATTATGTAGCGGGCGGGACGAGCCTAACATTTATTGTCGCTGCTCTTCTGTCTCTTCCCCCGCTGTTGACTTTATTTTTGTATTCATTCATTTATACTTGCTGTTGGTTTGATGTTCGTGTGAAGTTCCTTTATTTTGTATTGATGGAGAATTATTGATATTTAGCAATATTGATATACGCGCCCACACACCCTAACCCACGCCCACACAGTCTAACCCATGCTCACACGCCCTAACCCATGCTCACACGCTCTAATCCACGCCCACACACCCTAACCCATGCCTACGCCCACGCCCGGTACTCGCCCATCACCGCCTGAAGGCGCAGTTGAACAGCTTCCAAGCGCTGACGGCGTTTTAACTGTAATCCAGAGCAATTCCAGCCCTAATAAATGGGCCGCAAACGATCGTTACGAGTAGTTAAGGTGACAGGCCATTGTTGCTGTAACGACCAGATGGTAATTGTTACGACCACCGTCTCATTTGTTCCCAGACGACTGTCTCTTGTTGGTGATGTGGTCATTGGTATTGTGGTGTCTTAGGGTCCCCCTTAGTCTCTCCCCCCTTTAGTCCCTGCCCCTTAGTCACTCCCCCTTAGTCCCTCACCCTTTAATCCCTCTCCTTTACTCCACTAGAGAGAAATCCACACTAATGTAAACAAGGGAAGCAAAACACAGTCTGAGGGTTGAGAGGCGGGACCAAAGAGCCAAAGCTCAACCCCCGCAAGCACAATTAGGTGAGTACACAACAGTTACGCACATAAAAAGAAAACGGGAACATAAACAACGGCCAACAGATGACCTGAAGAGTGTCTGGCTGGCGTGGGTGCTCTCGACCAAGTGATCTCTTCAACACCGGTTCGATAACTCGACTAACCTTCCACTTAGCGCTTGCTTGTTTCTGGACTGAACTGACCTCGGAGAAACACTATACCAACTCACTCGTTACATGACTGATCGTTCGAGTGGGTTATCGTTAAGCTCAGTGACTCGTCAGTAAATGATCTGAGATTGACTTCTTGGCAGCTAATTGGAGTGACTCGTTACTCGTGTGTAAGACTAACTACCGGGATTTCCCAGTCATTGACAGTAACTTTCTTGCTCGTTTTCGTGAGTGACTTAAGACAACTCGTCGTTGACTGGCTTAGTCGACTCGCCAGACTCTGTGACTAAAGGGACTCAACATTGAGTGTGACTCGGTACAAGCCAACACTCTAGTGACTGACCTGATGAGAGTGAGTCAGTAGGACTGAGGCGTGAGTGAGAGTGAGTCAGTAAGACTGTGAGTGAGAGTGAGTCAGTAGGACTGAGGCGTGAGTGAGAGTGAGTCAGTAAGACTGAGGCGTGAGTGAGAGTGAGTCAGTAGGACTGAGGCGTGAGTGAGAGTGACTGACCTGCTCACCAGGGACGTGTAAGGAGAGGCCTGAAGGTCCACCATGTAGAGAGGTCCCGTACGCCGACACCCAGTCGGGCTCCACCTGGGGGAACGTACAACTTGCATTAGTAACGTACAGGCGGCCCCCCCTAGTTAGAAGGGGGGGGGATGGTTAGTTAATGCAAGGGGAGGGCTAGTTAGAGGGGGGAAGAGGGGGGCTTGTTACACAAAAGGAGATTATATAGTTAAGAACACTGGGTAGAGTATGGTACGTGTTTCCGCAAAATACGTAAATATTGATTCACTGCATTTGTCTCCAAGAGTTGTTAATCCGGATTTCCTACATCATGATGATCAAATTGGTGGTCCGGATCAAACACATGTTAATCCGAATTCGATGTATGTGTTTGTACCGAACGATTAGTCCGGTATTGTATTCTACATTCCCCGAACGAATATACTAATCCGGATTCATGGCATATTGCTCCCATAATCGCAGTAAATCCGGATCCGCTGCATTGTTCTACCACAGTGATAATTATTCGTGACCAAAATGGTAAATTATATGCTCTTTTGTCAATGAAATGAGAGGCGGAGGACGCCATATTGAGTCAGTCGTTTACAACGCGTATGATTTACAGTGAACGCCGGTTGTAAGGGACGCGATTAACAGTGAATATCCTGTTGATATGCTATATGATTTGCAGTGAATGCTGTTTATATGGAATGGGAAGAGTTGTTGTTGTTTCATAAAGGACACAAAACTACCTTATACCAGACGTTACTCTGGATTGTAAAGGGACACCATGTATATTGACCACCAATTATACCATGTATAACTGTATCAAACATAGGTAAAACTGCTGATAAGAATCATGTATAGGAAACACTATTTATCTGGATCGTGTAGAATAGTGAACCTTGTTTATACTGGACGTTAAATTCAGCGAAGATGGATTAAAACAAAATGTATTAAATTTACATACATTCTCGAATTAATATTATATACTAACATTGTTTAAAATATATTCAATATTCATAAATTTTGTAAACTGTGTTTCAGTAGAAATAAAGAAGCGAGAGCGGGATTCGAAGTGGTGTATCGGTGTTCAGCTCTCCGAAACAACTCCCCTCAGCAAGTAATGGAAAATAAACACAAGGGAACATTCGAAAATGGATTTATGCCACTGAAATTTTTCTGCCGAGAGCTTGAATGCCACACAGCCTTTGACAGGGAGTTTGGTGGCCAATATTTTCACCAGATTCGAATGCACTGCGGACCCTTTGGCGGGCTGTGTACCTGAATGACTGAGAGGTCCTTAGTGGAGACTGCCATCATGGCCGGCCCTACCTCCAGACTGTTTCCTTGCTATTTGCATATATATATTATATATTATTATTCAACATATTAAGCAGGCCGGTGTATCTGTGTACCCTGCAGGTACCACTGGTTACCGTGGGAGGGGCGACGTACCTGTGTACCCTGCAGGTACCACTGGAGGGAGGGCTGGGGGTTACCGTGGGAGGGGCGACGTACCTGTGTACCCTGCAGGTACCACTGGAGGGAGGGCTGGGGGTTACCGTGGGAGGGGCGACGTACCTGTGTACCCTGCAGGTACCACTGGAGGGAGGGCTGGGGGTTACCGTGGGAGGGGCGACGTACCTGTGTACCCTGCAGGTACCACTGGAGGGAGGGCTGGAGGTTACCGTGGGAGGGACGACGTACCTGTGTACCCTGCAGGTACCACTGGAGGGAGGGCTGGGGGTTACCGTGGGAGGGGCGACGTACCTGTGTACCCTGCAGGTACCACTGGAGGGAGGGCTGGGGGTTACCGTGGGAGGGGCGACGTACCTGTGTACCCTGCAGGTACCACTGGAGGGAGGGCTGGGGGTTACCGTGGGAGGGGCGACGTACCTGTGTACCCTGCAGGTACCACTGGAGGGAGGGCTGGGGGTTACCGTGGGAGGGGCGACGTACCTGTGTACCCTGCAGGTACCACTGGAGGGAGGGCTGGAGGTTACCGTGGGAGGGACGACGTACCTGTGTACCCTGCAGGTACCACTGGAGGGAGGGCTGGGGGTTACCGTGGGAGGGGCGACGTACCTGTGTACCCTGCAGGTACCACTGGAGGGAGGGCTGGGGGTTACCGTGGGAGGGGCGACGTACCTGTGTACCCTGCAGGTACCACTGGAGGGAGGGCTGGGGGTTACCGTGGGAGGGGCGACGTACCTGTGTACCCTGCAGGTACCACTGGAGGGAGGGCTGGGGGTTACCGTGGGAGGGGCGACGTACCTGTGTACCCTGCAGGTACCACTGGAGGGAGGGCTGGGGGTTACCGTGGGAGGGGCGACGTACCTGTGTACCCTGCAGGTACCACTGGAGGGAGGGCTGGGGGTTACGTATCTGTGTACCCTGCAGGTACCACTGGTTACCGTGGGAGGGGCGACGTACCTGTGTACCCTGCAGGTACCACTGGAGGGAGGGCTGGGGGCTACCGTGGGAGGGGCGACGTACCTGTGTACCCTGCAGGTACCACTGGAGGTTACCGTGGGAGGGGCGACGTACCTGTGTACCCTGCAGGTACCACTGGAGGTTACCGTGGGAGGGGCGACGTACCTGTATACCCTGCAGGTACCACTGGAGGGAGGGCTGGGGGTTACCGTGGGAGGGGCGATGTACCTGTGTACCCTGCAGGTACCACTGGAGGGAGGGCTGGGGGTTACCGTGGGAGGGGCGACGTACCTGTGTACCCTGCAGGTACCACTGGAGGGAGGGCTGGGGGTTACCGTGGGAGGGGCGACGTACCTGTGTACCCTGCAGGTACCACTGGAGGGAGGGCTGGGGGTTACCGTGGGAGGGGCGATGTACCTGTGTACCCTGCAGGTACCACTGGAGGGAGGGCTGGGGGTTACCGTGGGAGGGGCGACGTACCTGTGTACCCTGCAGGTTCCACTGGAGGGAGGGCTGGGGGTTACCGTGGGAGGGGCGACGTACCTGTGTACCCTGCAGGTACCACTGGAGGGAGGGCAGGAGGTTACCGTATGAGGGGCGACGTACCTGTGTACCCTGCAGGTACCACTGGAGGGAGGGCTGGAGGTTACCGTGGGAGGGGCGACGTACCTGTGTACCCTGCAGGTACCACTGGAGGGAGGGCTGGAGGTTACCGTGGAAGGGACGACGAGGCTGGCATCCGATCTTGATAAGTTCTGTGGGTTCGTATTCCTCTCTCGCTCCCACCAGCACCGGGGCGGAGAGTGGTTCTCCTGTGGAAGTGAGGGAGGGAGAGAGAGGGAGATATCATACAAGATAATTGAAAAATTTTAATAAATAAATAAATTATATTATATAATATAATTATATTATATATATATATAATATATATTATATATAGACTACCAGGGAATACAGTTTCTGCTGGTTTAGCAGGGCTGAATTAAGACTTTCTTAGGCCTTAGACACCTCCAAGCTATGGGACAAGAGTGGACAGCATACTAATAACACAAGTTAGTGTCAAAACAAAATAGCAGACACTAACTTGTACTTGAACCAGAATATCTCTAAATAACATAGTATCTAGTTAGGCTACTTGATTATGTTCTATACTATTCCAATCAGGATTAAGTAGTAAATAAATAGAAAAAGTACCTCGGTATCAATTTAATAATATTCTGTAGATAAAGATGAAGAGAAGTTCTTGTTATCTTTTTCGTAGGCCTCGGCTATCCTGTAGGTCCAAGGCAATGTACCTACGGTGTCTAATAGATAATCCAACACTGTCTTGTATTCTCTAGGCCACCGCTTTACAAACTCATTTGTCCAGTGCTGTCATTTTCGACCTCCGTGTTCCTGTTATATTGGGACATATCTAATATTGTCTGGAGCAGTGTCTAATGTTGTCTGTAATGTGTAGAGGAGCCTCTTGTGTGGAGCAGAGTCTAATGTTGTCTGTAATGTGTAGAGGAGCCTCTTGTGTGGAGCAGAGTCAAATGTCTGTAATGTGTAGAGGAGCCTCTTGTGTGGAGCAGTGTCTAATGTTGTCTGTAATGTGTACAGGAGCCTCTTGTGTGGAGCAGAGTCAAATGTCTGTAATGTGTAGAGGAGCCTCTTGTGTGGAGCAGAGTCTAATGTCTGTAATGTGTAGAGGAGCCTCTTGTGTGGAGCAGTGTCTAATGTTGTCTGTAATGTGTACAGGAGCCTCTTGTGTGGAGCAGAGTCAAATGTCTGTAATGTGTAGAGGAGCCTCTTGTGTGGAGCAGTCTAATGTCTGTAATGTGTAGAGGAGCCTCTTGTGTGGAGCAGTGTCTAATGTCTGTAATGTGTAGAGGAGCCTCTTGTGTGGAGCAGTGTCTAATGTTGTCTGTAATGTGTACAGGAGCCTCTTGTGTGGAGCAGAGTCAAATGTCTATAATGTGTAGAGGAGCCTCTTGTGTGGAGCAGAGTCTAATGTCTGTAATGTGTACAGGAGCCTCTTGTGTGGAGCAGTGTCTAATGTTGTCTAGTAAGCAATCCAGTACTGTGTTAGCATCCTAGCGTTTCTCTTATTCATAGTTCGAATAGCTTTGTGAATCAGAACTTTATAGTCTCTAAATCCGTATTACTTTTCGTTCTGAGGTTTACTGTTCCAAGATGATCCATTTATTTTCTCTAACATTTGCGTGTTGTGCTTGTTAGGGGTTACTGGTCTGTCGTTGAATGGATCCTGTTTGTCACCAGTTTTGTACATGGGTATGACTTGCCTATCCTTCCAGCTTGCAAACACCATATCTAACTCGCTGATGCATCAATGATCATTGTCTTAAATAATCACCTATTCACTGTAGTGTACTATCTGCTTTTTTCAGAGTATTTCTCTAGTTTGGATACTAGCCTCCAGATGGGGTACTGTGTCGATGGCCATCTGACAGTCAAGGAATATGCAGTCAACCCATGTTTCTATTATTTTGGTTCTGTCTAATCTCAACCATCATATATGTGTGTTTACAATTTGTGCCTACAGGATCGAGCTGTTAGCTCTTGGGTCCCTCCTTTCTAACCGGAGGTTAGAAACTTGTGTCAGGATCCTGGTCTCATGTGGTGTTATTTCCGTGTACAGATTTGGAACCAGTCCCTCTAATATTTTTGACGTGTAAATTTTAGCCTCAATTGGTTTGAAGCTTAAATTCCAACAGATTCACTAAATTTCAAATCACAAATAAAATAGGATGTCGTCTGAGACTAGCATCCAATGAGAATCTCAGTAAATTGTGCAGCGTCATAGATGTTATGACGTCATATAACTGTTTCACCAATGGGCTTCCTGGGAAAATGTTTCCCGCGAGAGCCAATGACGTCATACCATTATTCTCACCAATGACCGCTTTGGAAATTCGAGCTGCTGCTTTACGAGAAGAATATTATTTTACGCGCGAATTTTTCTAAATAGACCGACGCGGACGAAAATGTTAATAACAAAATCAACAGAAAAAGTCTGGGCGGAAGAACGATAAAAATAGGAACTCGCGGAAAAATGGACGGAGGTGAGAAACAAAAATTTAAATATTTAAAATATATCAAATGGTGAACACTGCACAAGAGAACAGAGGAAGATAATATTGGTTTATTGTTAGTTACTATTGTTAATACTGATGTTTGTAGTTGTAATAGTAATATCAATAGGAGGTAATTAGTGACGACACCAGTGGACATAATAGCTGCAGAGTATTAGATGTAATAGTAGTTAAAACAGTATTATTAGTAGCTGGTAATTACAGCAGCAGGAGTTGTATCATTAGCAGTAGCAACATAAGTTACAACAGTAGCAACATAAGTTACAACAGTAGCAAGAGAAACAACTGTATAGCAGCAAGCGGTGCTTGGATAAACAACACCCAAGAATTGTTAAAAATCTATACACTTGAAAGGTGTACCTCGCTTCTTGGAGGATATACACAGACTTACTGGCCGGTCAGTAAGCACTTGGGATGATAATAACCCTTCAGAAGTGGGATAGGCCTTAATGAACCCCCAACACCAAGCCATATCAGGAGAGCAGCCTAGTATTTGGCAGTACTGGCGAGGTCTTCCAAGATGTACCACTTACGGGCTATTCATGCCCGTGCCACCTCTTGGGTGGCTTAATCTTCATCAATCAATCAAACGTCGTCCAAGACTCACAATCGGCAGTTCCGGGTTGGAATCCCGGGTGGAACGGAAATGATTGGGCGCATTTCCTATAGCGTAATGCACCTGTTCACCTACCAGTAATTAGGTAGCTTATTGTGGGGTTGCGGTCTGGTTGTTGGGGGGGGGGGGGGCGGTTAATTAATTCGACCCTGTGGGAACCTCAATATAAGCCTAACATGTATATACACGGTCCCTAACACAGTGAATTAGAATTATATGTCTAATGTAATGAAGTTGATTACAACAGGCAGGTGAAAGTGTTGGACTACATTGCAGTAATTACAAAAGCTTTACTAATCTCTCTTTACTACATATTTAATCCGATAAAGTACAAACTACTAAAATTGCCGCTTTCTATCCTTAGATCCTGAATCATCACATTGAGTAGGATAATTTTGTAATATTGGAACAAAAACAAACGTTTGATTCTTCCTCATAAACTTATTTAACAAGAAAGATATATATATTATGTATAAAAAAAGTCTCCTCAAATATTGTCCATTTTAAAATGTAGTATTCGAGAATTTTCGGGGACGAAATTTTAGGCTAATAATGTAAACTTTAGCAATGTAATATATTTATTAGGTCCATTCTAGCAGCTAAACGCTACAAAAAGTCATAAATGCTGCGAAAAACGACGCGCATTACAAAACTGAGTGTAAAATGCAGTTGGCTACAGCACTTGGTTACGTAGATGGCTGAGGGATCCGCTGGCTGAGCGGGCAGAACACTGGACGCGTGATCCTGTGGTCCCGGGTTCGATCCCGGGCGCCGGCGAGAAACAGTGGGCAGAGTTTCTTTCACCCTGATGCCCCTGTTATCTAGAATTAAATAGGTACCTGGGAGTTAGTCAGCTGTCACGGGCTGCTTCCTGGGGGTGGAGGCCTGGTCGAGGACCGGGCCGCGGGGACACTAAAGCCCCGTAATCATCTCAAGATAACCATCTCGTGAATGGTGCACTAAAACACCTGAGCCTAACCTAACCCAGCGACCCCCATGATATAGAAAACGGGAATGTTTTTAAATCAGTATGATTTATAGTCCGTCATAGTTTTATCCGTTGGGGGTTTTTAACTTCAAAATGTAAGGTATTATTGGAGAAGGCAGAGTGATGGTGAGTGTGTTGAAGATGGTGTGTGATTGGTGCTTGAAGGTCACGAGCACGCCAGTGTGGTTGGCCTGGTGATTGGTGCTTGAAGGTCACGAGCACGCCAGTGTGGTTGGCCTGGTGATTGGTGCTTGAAGGTCACGAGCACGCCAGTGTGGTTGGTCTGGTGATTGGTGCTTGAAGGTCACGAGCACGCCAGTGTGGTTGGCCTGGTGATTGGTGCTTGAAGGTCACGAGCACGCCAGTGTGGTTGGCCTGGTGATTGGTGCTTGAAGGTCACGAGCACGCCAGTGTGGTTGGCCTGGTGATTGGTGCTTGAAGGTCACGAGCACGCCAGTGTGGTTGGCCTGGTGATTGGTGCTTGAAGGTCACGAGCACGCCAGTGTGGTTGGCCTGGTGATTGGTGCTTGAAGGTCACGAGCACGCCAGTGTGGTTGGCCTGGTGATTGGTGCTTGAAGGTCACGAGCACGCCAGTGTGGTTGGCCTGGTGATTGGTGCTTGAAGGTCACGAGCACGCCAGTGTGGTTGGCCTGGTGATTGGTGCTTGAAGGTCACGAGCACGCCAGTGTGGTTGGCCTGGTGATTGGTGCTTGAAGGTCACGAGCACGCCAGTGTGGTTGGCCTGGTGATTGGTGCTTGAAGGTCACGAGCACGCCAGTGTGGTTGGCCTGGTGATTGGTGCTTGAAGGTCACGAGCACGCCAGTGTGGTTGGCCTGGTGATTGGTGCTTGAAGGTCACGAGCACGCCAGTGTGGTTGGCCTGGTGATTGGTGGTTGAAGGTCACGAGCACGCCAGTGTGGTTGGTCTGGTGATTGGTGCTTGAAGGTCACGAGCACGCCAGTGTGGTTGGCCTGGTGATTGGTGCTTGAAGGTCACGAGCACGCCAGTGTGGTTGGTCTGGTGATTGGTGCTTGAAGGTCACGAGCACGCCAGTGTGGTTGGTCTGGTGATTGGTGCTTGAAGGTCACGAGCACGCCAGTGTGGTTGGTCT